AAATCAAACTTCTAGTCTTCAAACACCAGACGATGTTATTTTTTACTACTCAAGAAATTCGGCAAGTCTTACGCCAACTCCCTAATAAGCGCGCACCGGGTCCAGATGGTGTTGACTATCGTATTGTCAAATTGATTATTAGCACCAATCTCAGTCTCTTCCAAAGCCTGTTTAATAAGCTATTCAATAGTGGAACTTTTCCTCAATGTTTTAAAATTGGCCAGGTGATCTTATTTTTAAAGAAACACCGTGATCCAGCCCGTGCCGATTCTTATCGCCCTATTTGTTTGTTGTCAGCTTTTGGCAAAACTTTTGAAAAACTTCTTATGGGACGATTGAGATTTCATTTGCACTCAACAAATTATCTGTGTCCTTTTCAATACGGTTTTCGCACCAAAAGATCAACACTGCACGCTTTAAAGGAAGTTCAAGATACCATCCTGCGCAATAAGTTCTCCGGCCACCACACAGCGTTTATCTCAGTGGATTTAAAGAGCGCCTTCGATACGTTGTGGTGGCCGGCAGTTCTATATGCATTAAGAGATGCCAATTGCCCCCGCAATTTATATAATACTCTTGCACATTATCTGTCCGATCGACATTTGATCATTTCCTATAATGGAGGCCTGGTACATAGATGTCAGACTCGAGGGTGCCCGCAGGGTTCATGTGCGAGCCCCTTTCTCTGGAATGTGACATACAATCTTATCCTTAAGCAGCCATGGCCTGAACATACAACTGTGGTTACTTATGCCGATGATACCGCATTCATAGTGCGAGGTAGGACTCGTGATCAACTTCAAGCAAACTCACAGGAGACCTGTTCTTTGTTTCAGTCTAGATGTGAAGATTTTAAATTGCAAATCTCTGAAGAGAAATCGCAAATTCTGATCATTCCTAAGAAGGGTGGTTCTATGGCTCGTCAGCCGAGAATAACCATAAATGGCAAGCGTCTTCGTATTAAACGTGAACTTAAATACCTTGGAATTATTTTCGACGACAAACTCAATTGGATTCCCCATGTGTTAGATCTCAAGAAGCGTACTGCTGTGATTGCTCAACGCCTTAAACTTATGAAGGGAATCCACTGGGGCTTAAATCCACATCTTCTTAAAGTTTTATATGCAACAGTAACTGAAAAGATTGTTTCATATGGTGCTGCAATTTGGGCAGCACCAATGCAAGGACGCAAAGTCCGACATTTAAATAGTATACAGAGACCATTTCTCTTAAATATCACTCGTGCCTTCCGCACATCACCAACTAACGCCCTCGCAGTTGCAGCTGGAGTCTTGCCTTTACCTATTGCGGTTGAAAAGGACGCAGCTTATCAGTTGATTAGACAACTTGGCTGTTCAGTTCAGTTTGGAGATCACTCTCTTTCTCCTCCCATGATTATGAAGCAGCAATAAACAGAGAAGACCAACACCCCTCCCTCTATGGTACGGGAGTTAAAGTTAATCTCAAACCGAGTCATCAAGTTTCTCATGCTGATCTGGTCTTTTATACTGATGGCTCTAAATTGGAAGATCAGGTTGGCTGTGCATATATAGCCATACTGCAAGATCAGACAACTCTTCACCAGTGGAAATGCCATCTGTCTTCTTTTAACAGCGTCTTCCAGAGTGAGGCTATTGCTATTCGACAAGCCAATACAAACAATCATTAATCATCGATATTCACATTCCTATGTTCTTACCGATAGTCTCTCCACATTGTATGCCATTTTAAATCCTCTGCATTCATCCCCCATTATTGTGGACATTCAAACTAGCTTGTCTCGACATAAAAATCTACACATTTGTTTAGAATGGACAAAAGCTCATGTGGGGAACTACGGTAATGAAACTGTCGATAGGCTTGCTAAAGAAGCAGCACAGAATCACGAGATAACACAGACCTTGACGGTTTCACGCCCAGTATCTAATCTAAAGCGTCACTTACTTCTCACAGCCATCTCCTTTGTGGCAAAATGCATGGAGTTCGGAGGAAACTGGTCGCCGAGCATTTGCCCATGTCCCTAAAGTAGATTTAGACCGATTAATCATGCCACCACAGCTGATCTTCTACATTACGGGCCACGGGCCTTTTCCCTTATATTTCGAGAGACATGGACTCTCTTCCTCAGCACTCTGTAGTTGTGGACAACTGGGCAATCCAGAACACTATCTAATCGATTGTCCACTTACTACTGAATTCCATATTCCTTTTCCACCAACGGATAGGACTGCCTTTAGTCGTTTTTTGATTAAGCAACGGCATCAAGTCAAAAAGATAGTCCGTTTAATTGACAAACTGATGAATCTGGGACTTGATCTTTGTGCCTTATAATATCGACATATGATTCAACTTCTTCAACTGCTTGTATATATTATAACCCATCTACTTTTATGCTCTGAAGTGTTTGTAACCATTGTAATCTATTGTAATCCATCTGTTATAAGTCGCTGTGTATAGCAGCAGTCAAATATTTGTATATTCTCTCTCAGCATCTTTTTCTAAGTGCAACCAGGTAATATTGTCTATAACAGCTGTCCTTGTACCTATGGTACATTTAATACCAGGTGCTGTTTAGTATCTGTATATCTTGCATTTGCCTATTTACCGATGAATAATAATGTTATCTTTTGCATATGCACATTTATTATCAAGTGCTGTTAAATATCTGTATATATTGAATTTGCATATTTATCTGTTGCATATGTATTGTCCTAATAGTCTCTTTGTTGTCCATAGCAGCTATCAATGTACTTATGGTACATTTTTTACCAGGTGCTGTTGTTAAATATCTGAATATATTAAATCTGCATATTTACCTATGAATAATAATGTTATTGTCTTTATTTTTATCTTTTGCCCATGTATTATCAAACATATAACTGTCTGTATTCCCTCATAATGCACTATGATAATATCTACATTGAACGTATTTTGCGTTTTTTCACTGTATAATAGTATATAATATCTTGGCATATCTAGTTGGGCGTATTAATGGTACATTGTTTGCCAGTTGCTGTTAAACATCGGTATACCATATACTTGCATATTTGGCTATACATTATACTGTTACTGTCTTCTTTTCATCAATTGCCCATGTAATATCATACATTTAATTCTCTGTGTAATAATAACACTGAATGTATTGGGGTCGCTAGAGATTTTCATTGTATAATATATCCAACCATTATCCATTGTTTTAAATATATCCATTGTATTTATACCAACATTGAATGTATTTTGTGTTTTTCACGGTATAATATATGTTCATAATTTGTGGCATACTTAAGTCTATATTTCATCCTTTGCAAATGTATAGTAACACATTTAACTGTCTGCATCAATTTATTTGCTGCATAAGGATCACAAGTGTCATGACAATTTTAAATGTATATTTGTGTTACCAACACTGAATGTATTTTATATTTCTATTGTATAGTATTGTATAGTATCTACTGTATCGTATCGTATTATGGTATTTTTTTTTTTTTGTATTGTATAGTCTTATATCAATTGGCTTTATACAGGTTAAATATGTTAATTTTTATTCATTATAATCGTTTAATTAGCTTTTGTATTGTATTGTATTGTAGTATTGTATAGTATTGTATGGTATCTTATATAAGTTATCTTTTTATGCAGGTAACTGCATCAATTTATTTGCTGCATTAGGATCACTGGTATCATGACAATTTTAAATGTATTTTTGTGTCACCAACACTGAATGTATTTTGTATTTTCATCACTAGTGTCATGACAATTTAAATGTATTTTTGTGTCACCAACACTGAATGTATTTTGTATTTTCATTGTATAGTATTGTATAGCATCTACTGTATCGTATTATATTGTGGTATTGTATCTACTGTATCGTATTGTATTGTGGTATTGTATAGTATTGTATAGTATCTTATATCAGTTGGCTTTTAGTACAGGTTAAATATGTTAATTTTTTTTGTATTGTATTGTATTGTAATATTGTATAGTATTGTATAGTATCTTATATTCGTTAACTTTTATGCAGGCTAAATATGTTATTTTTATTCCTCATAATCGTATAATTAGCCTTATTGCATGTTTTTCCCACAATACCACGTGATCAAGTGTATTGTACCGCTATTGCATTCTGTTACATTGTATTCTTTTTATTTTTATTTCTTTTGGTATATCCTCTCTGTATTGCTGTAATCATTTACATTCATTATTTCACTATGTTCTCTATTTTTATGTTATATTGTCATTAAGTCTAATTCTACTGTCTATATTTTATTCATTGTATATTATTGGGCTGCCCAACATCAGACTGTACTTTAGCTTATGTATATTCTATATTTGTGTGTATTACACCTTTGTAAAATTTTTTTTTGCTTATTGTCCAAACTCGCCCTTTTTGGCCCTGCATGCTTTTGTTATTTTATTTAATAAATGTGGGGCCTGGGCGGTTGTTGGGACTGTCTTTCGTGGGCATTTGGTCTGCTGGACTGCCCCCGGGTTGAATTTGGCTCTGGGTTTGGGCGCCCGGCGCGTGGCGTCTTGTGATTCCTCTTTAGGCTCTAGATATAGGTGGACGTGGTGCTATACCGATTAACCTTTTGGTAAAGGGACAGTGCCCACGTCCTCCGTTGCTTATCGCTTATCGCTTATATGTCCCCTTTGTAGAACGTAACGGTGGCCGCCTCTGTAATAAAAATTGGCCACCACTTCTGGCTTCAGTAGTGGCGAAAGCCTCAAAATGGCTAGTGCCCGCCTTAAAAAGAAAACTTACAAAGTAATCATTACAAAAGTATTCTGCTTGTAGCTCAGTTTTTGATTCGTAAAAAACATTGAACGAAAAAGCACAACAACAACGCGTAGAAAATTGGTATTTAGGTTTTATTAATAAAATTATCCATCAGTTTCAGCTAACCCACTTTTATATTTTTAATCCACACTAGCTTTTTTTTTTTGTCAAAGATAAAGTATAGAATAACTATAAACACACAGAAAAGAAAATCTTTGCTTACTTCGGAACATTCCTTCCAGACGCTCCATGAGGATAAAACGCACTCTCCAGGACAATGAATCCTACACCTTTCTACGGATGTAGGTTTGTGCAGAGGATCACATTTAATCTCCTCCACTTCCTGTTCCGTTCGCTGGTCCAAGCATCTACATTTAAAAAGAAAATAGTTTAATAAACACGGCATATATTTTTATATTTGTTCTCTCCGAATGTTTCCTTTCAGTTTATACGGCGTGGATTCCCGCTATTAGTTCTTATTTGTTTTACTTACTTCCACGGGACAGCTGTCTTTCTTCCTCTCCGCACTTTTGACTTACCTATCTGAAAATTTCACTTTCTGCTTACTCAAAGTTAGGTGTCTACAGAGGCTTATATATTACTAAGCTTATTACAGCCATATAAAAATATATCCACATATCCATAACAGATCAACATAGAAAACACAGCACGAATAATTATGATTTAAATATTTGTGCTCAAATAAATACTAAATATACTTGTCTCGTGCGAACAGAGTTTTCTTTAATTAACCTTCTTTCTTAATCAGTGTCAACATAAACTTAACAATCCAGCAAATGATTGTCCTCCAGTTTGAATCTCAAACAACAAATGGCGTAATATATGCAGATGGATATCGAAGTGTGATTTCATTAGTTTCTCTATTTAATTTGCAAAATAACATGCTAATGACAACTACTCCTACACTTATTATGCATTATGTAAACATTCTGAAAGTCAGGGTAAAATATTTATATAAGCAAAAGCAATTCACAGCAAAATGAAGCAACTGAAAAGCTCTTAATATAGAATATATAAAAATGAAGCTGAATTTATCACAGATATTTGAGATTTCTGGAGTAATACACTGCATCGATAAAAATACTTATACGGCCTTGATTTTCGAAATGGCTGTTAGTAGACGTCTATTTCCCGTTGCAGAAATGTTTTAAAGGACGTTAATATATTCATCCTTCGGCATTTTTATTAAAAAAGTTGATTTTGTAGGAATTGGAGATTTAATGTTTTATATGGCACTGCAGTCCTCGCAGTTATATCGAGTAAAGTTTTATGCTCATCATAGAAACTGAAAAATAAAAAGGCTAATTCCCTTTCTTGAATTTTCTAACTCCACATCGTTATCGCAACCATAGAATTGATTTCCCACATTGGAGTTTGCAATAGTTTGTATCAGAGTCAACCGTAAAACTGTGTTGTTTCAAGAGAATTTTGCAGCTGATCTGAAATCGACAAGAAAATTTTGTTGTTGAATTTGTGTGCTTCGTTCTTTCATAGCGTTATGTGCATTCAGAACGTTCTACATCATGCGTTAAAATGGTGCATATTACAACTGCGTTCTTAGGACGTACATTTCAACGCACAGCACTGGTGCAGTTATTATAATACTATCTTTATCTGCTACGCGAAGGTGCAATCAGTATCCGCATTTAACGTGCTATTTTACGTTTTAAACTGTAACATGCAGACATAATTCATATTCTTGTAGAATGTTGTACAAGCGTTTTTTGTGGAACGGTTATTACAGACTAAATAAGAGAGCAGGTATATGAGGTGCTTTTGCCCGTTATAGAATTATTACATTTAAATGCGATTTAGAACTTTCTGGCAGAACGTTGTATGGACGTTACATATTACATGAAACTAGCGGGCAAGCCCGCCAGCTGAGCGGGCTGAAGCCCGCTTATCATTGTTCGTTTTTAAAAGATATCCTATGTTAAATTTGGCCGGTATTGAAAAGTTGAACCGAACTACCATTTTTTAGCGGCATTCCGCGGGCTTCCCCCGCTTTTTTCACCTATGCATCCAGAAGTTACCGCATACACTATACATATGCGGAAAATCACGAAAACACCCATGCTTCCAGCCCTTTCGCGGGTATTCGAAATTTGGACCGAAATACCAGTGTTCAGCGCTTTTGGGCCGCCCAAAACAGTGTTCACGTGTGCATGCAAAAGATACTGCGTACACCGTACACATGCGTAAAATCACGAAAACACCCCTCCAGCCAGCCCGCTGCCGATTCGAAAGTTGGACCGAAATACAATTTTTCAGCGATTTTGCGCGTGCTGTGCCCGCTTTATTCACGTATGCATGCTGAAGATGGTGCATAAACGATACACATGCGTAAAATCACGAAAACAAACATGGAGCCTGCCTGTTCGCCCGGTATTCGAAAGTTGGACCGAATTACCAGTGTTATGTGGCTTTGCGCGGGCTCTGCCCGCTTTATTCACATATACACCCAGAAGATACTCCATACACTATACACATGCGTAAAATCACGAAAACACCCATGGAGCCAGCCAGTTCGTCGGGATTCGAAATTACCGCATTACCAGAACCGCATTACCAGTATTCTGTGCCCGCTTATTCACGTATGCATCCATGAGATACTTTATAAACGATACACATGCGAACAATCACGAAAACACCCATGCAGCCAGCCGCCCGCTCGCCGAGATTCGAAAGTTTTGAGCGAACTACCAGCGTTCAGCGGTTTTACCCGGTTATCCGCGCGCTGTATTCACGTATGCATCCAAATTTTATATACAGTACCCCGGAATTCGAAAGTAGGACCCGAAATACCAGTGTTCAGCGATTTTGTGGACCGGGCTGCGCCCGCTTTATACACATAAGCATGGAGAGGATACTGCATAAACGATACACATGAGTTAAAGCAAGAAAACACCCGGGGAGCCAGCTCGTTCGCCGACACCGAAAGTTGGATCGAACTACCAGCGTTAAGAGGTTTTGAGCAGGCTGCGCCCACTTTTATCACATATGCATCCAGAAATCACTTTATACACTATACACATGCGGAAAATCAGGAAACAGACATGCAGCCAGCCCGCTCGCAGAGATTCGAATGTTTGACCGAACTACCAGTGTTCAGCGGTTTTACCCGGTATCCGCGCGCTGTATTCACGTATGCGACCAAATTTTATGTACAGTACCCCGGAATTCGAAAGTTGGACCGAACTACCAGTGTTCTGTAGTTTTGCGCGGGCTGCTTCCGCTTTATTCAAGTATGCATGCAGAAGATACCGCATACACGTTACACATGCGAAAAATCCCGAAAACACACATTGAGCCAACACGGTCGCTTGGATTCGAAAGTTGGACCGAACTACCAGTAATCAGAGTTTTGAGCGAATTTCGGCCGCTTTATTCACTTATGCATCCAGAAGATGCTGCGTACACGAGGCACATGCGTAAAATCACGCAAACACCCATGGACCCCAGCCCGTTCGCCGGGATTCGAAATTAGGACCGAACTACCAGAGTTCAGCTTTATTCATTTATGCATCCAGAAGACACTGCATACACACAGATATGCGTAAAATCACAAAAAACATGAGTGTAGCCTGCCTGCTCAGCGGGATTCGAAAGTTACCGTATACCATCTCAAAGGAGCAAAGAAAAATCTTTAATCTAAAAAAAAAAAAAAAGTGTGAATTTAATTTTTATTGGTGCGAACTTATTTAAAATATCATTTGCATTAAAAGATAATATCTAAATTAAGTGCACGTATCTAATAACATAAAAAAAAATATATTATTCCAAAAAATCAAATTTATTATTAAAAAAATAACAACATATTTTTTAAAAAATAGCTTTTTCAGATTTTTTAATTAATATCCCAGCTGATTAAAGTTGTACAACTTTAAGAACGTCATCATTTAAATTTTAATGTAATATAATAACTTTTATTCAATATCAATAAAAGAATTAACGTGACAATCATCCTAACCTGAAATTAAAAAAAAATTGTGAAAAGCAGCTGTTTATTTAAAATGCCTACATTAACGAAATATTTTTAAAATACAGTGAGGTAACATGCAATCGCGTGCTTTATTCAACTTTTAGAATATTAACCTTGATTTTTATCTGCGGCGATTCAAGAAACTGTAGCAATCGAAAAAATGAGCCCGAAAATCTAGCGTTTTAACAGTTTTTAATTAATATCTAAAGCTGATTGAAGTCGTACGAAGATGAGAATGGTATCAATGGCATTTCGTAGAATTTTTTGGAATCCGGCGAGACACTCTGCCTCGAATTCCAACTCAGCGCCGTTCCATAGTTATTTGGGAAAAAAAGAAATTGACCACGTGACCTTTTCTCGCCAGCACAAATCTCGAGCGGAAGCAATTGTCCCCCATCCCCCCTGGCGCTTTCGGAAAAAGCAATTTTATCTCAGCTAATTCCCGAGACAGTTGCCACTCCGAAAAATGAAATAACGTTTTCGCAGTTTTTAATTAATAACTCCGCCGATTATTGTCGTACGAAGATGGGAACCGGTATCGATGGAATTCGTTGATTTTTTTGTCGAATACGGCGGATATGCGTTTCGAATTCGCAACTCCGAGCCGTTCCGCAAGATATTCGAGAAAAACGAATTTGGCACGCTCAGCCAAATCCCTAAAATAAAGGGGAAAACCCGTGAAAGAAAGTGTACAAAACGTAGGAAAATGTAGGGAGAAATCTAGTTTTTAAATTAATATCTCGGCTAATTATAAGTCGCACGAAGATGCCGATGGTCAAAATCCGGCTTCGAGCCACGGACATTCCTGCATCCAACGGTACCTTCCGCTAAGCTCTACACCCAGCCGTTCCCGAGGAGATGATGTTACAAACACACAAACAGACAGAGGCACACAGATTTTAATAGTATAGATAGACTAGCGGGCAAGCCCGCCAGCTGAGCGGGCTGAAGCCCGCTAACTCTGGGGCTGGATGCCTTTGTGGTATTCGAAAGATGGGCCGAACTACCAGCGTTTAACTGTTTTCCGATGCCTACGCCCGCTTTATTCACGTATTCTTCCAGAAGACAATGCATACACGATACACATGCAGAAAATCACGAAAACACCCATGCAGCCAGCGCGCTTGCCGGGATTCGAATGTTGGACCGAACTACCAGCGTTAAACGGTTTGCGCGAGCTGCGCACGCTTTATTCACGTATGGATACATTGCGCGGTCTGCACCCAGAACGAAAATCACGAAAACGCACATGCACCCAGCCTGCTGGCCGGGATTTGAAAGTTGAAAAGAACTACCAGTGTCCAGCGCTTTTGCGCGGGCTGCGCCCGCTTTATTAAAGTATGCATCCAGAATATACTGTATACA